CAGTCTGGACTCCAAGATCACAGTTGTTTCCCAAGTTCCAGATGGGCCCCCAAATAATACAGGGTGTCCTTGGTCCCTCGATGGGAACTTCTACTCCAGAGTCCTTGTTACTTTTTCCTGTATCTGTTTCCAGGGATAAAGCACCCCTTCCTGGGCATCACCTCTGGATTGTCCACCCCTAAGAAGAGGGGAAACCCAAGAAGAGTTCTAGTAAGATGAGCCAAAGGTGGAAATAGGGACAGTAGTAAATGGAGAGGGGAGATAATGGTGGGAGGAAGGGGTGGGGGGAGAGGTCAGCATGGGGAGTGCGGAGGGGGAGGTTCTGGTTGACAGGGGCTCTGGGAGAGTCTCTGTGTCACCTGGTGGATGCAGGAAACTGTCCATTTAGGCCCTTCCTGTCCTGGCAAGGCTGCTGTAACTCACAGGGCACTCACAGGTTGGGGGAAAATGGGTCGGAAGGAGGGTTTGTTAGGGGAGACCCCAATTCCTGAGCAGAATATTCCCAGTTCCCCTGGACTGGGACACGGAGGTTCAGGGAGCCAAGAGGAGGCAGAGCAAGGCCTGTGCTGCCTGGGGGACCAGTCTGGGCTGATTCTGGGCCTCAGCCCTGCTCACAGATCAGGCTGCTGGACAGACTCTGTGCCTGACACCACGGACACCACTCTGGGGAGAGTGTCAAATACAAAAGCAAACAGCAACATTAAATGAAATCTAAAAACAATAGGAATAATTTTATTAAATCTGCTTTATTTTGAAAGATACTTCAGGGTCTGAGAGAATCAGCAGAGCCCTGGACACTGTCGCCACCTGGGGGAGAAAAGCACAGACCTGGTCAGAGCCACGAGAGAGGAGAGCACAGGAGGGGCTGACCGGGTGACTCCCCCAGGGGCTCCATCTACACTGTCCCAGGGGCTCAGGGACCTAACCTCTGACCCACAATCACCTGCAGCCTGAGTGTAGTTTCCTCCTTTCCCACCTGTGGGAAGAGATGTCACATGAGACCACGTTAGAAGCCTAAAGGAATCTTTCCAGAACTGTGATCCAAGTCAAGACTGGAAAAATGAAGAAAGGAGATGAAGGGGACTAGACCAAATTCCCTCTGAGTGCCACACATGTGTGGTTAGTACTGCTCATCAACCAGGGGAGGCAAGTTCTCCCTGGGACTTGAAAGCCCCCAGTAGACAGGATCCCCCACTCCCTTCCCTACCTGAGCGCTTCTTCCTCCACATCACAGCTGCAGCCACCGCAGCCCCAGTGAGCAGAGGTCCAAGGAGAACCAGGCCAGAGGGGATGGAGGACTGAGGAGGGGGCTCGGGAAGGGAAGGGAAAGGGAGAGCTTGAGCCCCAGGCCTCATCCTCTGAAGGTCCCCAGAAAGGTCTCTGATCCTCCTGAGAAAAGCCCCTATGCCCATGTCCCCATCCTCAGGACTTGGGGATCCAGCAGCCCCTCATGCTGCACATGACACATATATCTCTGTTCCTCTCTAGAAAGCACCACTAGAGCAGCCCATTTCTGGAAGGTTCCATCTCCACCAGGCCTGGTGTCCACCAGCTCCATGTCCTTGGTCAGGTTCTCCCCATCTCGTTGCCAGGTCAGGGTGATCTCCGCAGGGTAGAAACCCAGGGCCCAGCATTTCAAGGTGACATTCTGGTCAGAGGTGGGGTGGTGGGTCATGTGTGTGTGGGGGGGGATCTGAAGGGGAACAAATCAGAAATACCACATTTTGAATTTATTCAGTGTCTTCCACAGACACTGAAGCAGACTCACATGACCATCCTCAGAATGGACAGGACATGGCGTGGAGGAGGAAGCATGAAACCCAGAGCCCAGCCCTGTCTAGGAAATCTGGGATCATGGGGTGAGAGTCCAGGGTGGGAGGGTGCAGGTCTCTAAGGAGGACACAGACTCTGCTCCTGCCCTGGTAGAAGCTGAGCGACACAGAAAGGTAGAGTCAGGTCCAAAACTGTTCTCAGACCAAAAACAAGACCTGAAAGAAAAATTGATGATTTTCTTTCTTTCTTTAAGATGGTGGCCAGGTCAAAAAGGAGCCAATGAAGATACTTGAGACAATCTCCCTCCCCCATCAGGAGAGGCTGGATTCCTTAACCGTCCAGGAAAGCAGCATTGTCTGGGCCAGTCTCTCTAGTACAGAACATGATACCCAGGGGTTCCTCCCCTCTGACCAGAAAGCAGGCGCTGTCCTGCCCATTATCCCATTTCCCTGTGGGGCCCAGGGTGAGGGGAGTCCCAGACCTTGAGGCCCCCTTACCTGTGTGCTGCAGCACCTCCTTCCCCAGCTCCAGGAGTCTGCGCAGCCACGGCAGGCACCTGCCCTGCAGAATGTCCCTGACACGCTCCGCCGTCCCCCATGCCTCCCACTGGCGCTGGGTGATCTGGGCCACCAGGTCCATGGGGGTCCAGGAGCGCAGGTCCGGGTTCCGGGCGATGTGATCAGGTGCAGTCGTAGGCGAACTGCTCCTACCTGTGGAGGAGGCTCCCGTCTGGCCCCACGTCGCAGCCACACATCCTCTGGAGGGTGTGAGACCCAGAACCCCCTAGTGTCAGCCCCGCGGTCACCCGGGGTCACCCGCCCTCTCCCCCTGAATCAACCTGAACTGAACATGAAACTGCAGGTGGGAGGGTCACCCGGGTCTTTCCGGGGTAGGGACCTGGCAGGCCACCTGCCTTAGGGGGTCAGTGGAACCCTGAGACTCAGGACACCCCGAACCTTAGGGTGGAATGGGGGTAGTGACCTCACCACGGCCCGCTCTGGGCAGCTCACCTTTGTTGTTTTGGTTGTAGAGGCCATGCAGGTCCCCCAGCAGCGCCTGAACCACTGAGCCTTGTCCCTTTGGATCTGCGTCTCCTAGTCCAGATCCTCCGGCCCCACCTGCCATGCCCAGAGCGCCAGCTGCTCCGGGGCAGCAGCAGCTCCGTGCTCTGCCCTGGAGAGTCGCTGTCAAACCTCCCAAACTGCGTCATCCATGTAGCCCACGGCAATGATATTGGGCACCCCCAGGCGTGGCGGGATATGGCAGTAGTGATACCTCAGGGAGTGGGAACCTGGGGATGAGATGGTGGAGGCTGGGGTGTGGGGAACACCCAGGCTGTCCCGCCTCTCAGAAGAGGCCCAGGTCCCAGAGAGTGGGGCCTCCTAATAGTGAAAAGAGCCCAAGGAGGGACCCAGCCTCAGGGGGACCAGAGCATCTGGGGAGGTGGAAAGGAGCAGAAGGCCAGAGCACAGCCTGCCTGAGGGGGTACAAGAGTCTAGAGAGGAGATGAGCCTTTCCTGGGGTCGCACCCACAGTGGGGTCCTTGCTCCTCCTTCCTGGAGCAGCTGTTTCATCTGACCCCGCACTCACCTGCCCAGGGACCCCCAGAGCAGCAGCAGGAGAATGGGGGACATCACACCCTGTCCTGGGTTCCGGGGAGAGTGAGTCCAGGAGAGCTGGTGGAGACTGTCATGGAGCAGCGATGACCCTGAGTGTTCCCTGGAAACCCCAGGACACAGAGAGTGAGAATGGGGTGAGTGTGGGTTATCCAGGCTCCACCCCACAGAGACGGTGAAAGGAGACATGAAGCTGTAACAGTGGCCCCCAAAGAAAGGGGGAATACACATTCCCTCCCCATCCTAAAGAGGAGTGGATTTGGGCTGGAGCAGCAGCCTGGAGGGATGAAGGAAGCAGCAGGGTTTCAGGTAACTGTGAACATGCCACTTTGATACTAAATTAAAGATACCCAGGTGGGAGTTTCTGGAGGGTTATTGGCCAAGGGAACCTGTGATGATTCCATGGATTATCTCCCGCTGCATTTCCATAGCCCTCTTTTGCCTATTGTCTGGAACTAGAGGTACAGTATGATTTTCTTTTAGGTAATGCATTGTTTCAGAAAAGATCTTTAGTGTTACACTGCAATCAAATGATCAGAAAGAATGTGTTTTATTTATTTATTTAATTTTATAACAGTTTATTTTACATTTTTTTTCTATCTCAATTGTAATCCCCGCGGGTCTCCCATCACCAAGTCACCCGTGTGCATCACCATAATCCCGTGCACTTCCCACCCCACCCCCCCGTTTTTGATCCCATTCCCCACTCCACCCCCACAAAATGT